TGGCCACGCCCACCATGGCCACGCCCACCATGGCCACGCCCACCATGGCCACGCCCACCTAGCAACAGGGCAGAGAACCTATTGCTGACATTTTTTGAAGCCCATACCTGCACGGATTACTTGCTGAATTGTTATATAATCTTGCATACAAGTTTTAGGGAACTTCAAAAGAAAAGTTTTGAATTCCTGGACTGGTAATTTTGAGTAAAACCCAGTCGCAGGTTGTAAAATACCCATTTAAATTTTTGGGGGAGGGGCAGAAGGAGAGAAGAAAGACCACTTACTCTCCTAATGTCGTCTAGACATGTGATTTCAGGAGAGAGCCCTCCGTGCACACACAGAAACTGTTGATTCAAGAGGGCTGCGAGAGGAAGACAGTCAAATGTATCCATGCATGCATCATATACCCGCTCTGAGTACTTGATTCGACCTGCAGCAAGAAAGAAGTGAGAAGGGGGAAAAATTGCAGCTGTTATAAAGGCTGCAGGTTTGCAAAGTTTTGGCACAGGCAACAGCCGATCTACAGACCAAAAGGCTTCTAAGGGGCTAAAGCTGGAAACGGGACTGAATCAGAGGAGGAGGAGGAGGTGGCGTGGGAGTCAGGATAAACATCAAAGCAACCTGAGAGCTCCGAAAGGGAAGAGGGAGTGGAGCTAGCAGAGAAAGACAGAGGCTCTGGGCCTGGGCCGTTAGTCAGCCCTCAGATGGAGAGTCAACAGCCCCCAGGTCTTGAGGTGGCTGATGAGGAAGAGGAAGAACAGCTGGGCCCAGTGCCTGAAAAGCAGATTTGCAGAAGGCAGAGGAGAGCAAAGCAATGGAAATCTATGGGCCGGTCTTTGGGACAGAAGAGCCATTGCTGCTAGCAAAGCCCCACCCTAGCTCTGGGGATAAAAGGCAGGGGGCGGGAATGAATAGATGTGGCAGACAACTATTTATCCCCCTGTCGGATGGACTTGTTAGTCTGCAGTGAGAGACAAACTTTTTTGCTGGGCTGTTGGCCTAATTAAAGGAATTTCCAAGTTCATTTCAGAGCTTTTGTCGTGTTTGGGGAACTGGGTCAGAATAAGAACGGTGACTGCCTACTCTTTCCTTTCTCTCAGGAACCGGCTTTCACACTTACGACACTTGGGAGATTTTTAACCTCAGCTCGCCTAACAATAAATCCTAGAAATCTCTCATGGACCTGTTGCGTGTTTCAGAAGATTCTCAGTCATTTTTTTTAAAGAAGTATACACAGATCATGCAGGGTGGTGGGCAAGCAAGCTGAGATATACCACTTTATCCTAAGTGATGTAGAGCAGGGGTGTCAAACTGAAGGCCCGGGGGCTGGATCCAGCCCACAGGGTACTTAGATCTGGCCCAGGGGGTTGCCCTGGAAACAGTGAAGGACCAGCACGAGGTGCTTCTGCCAGCAAAAATGGAGCTCAGGAGGGCCCTCCAGAGCTCCGTTTTCACTGGAAGAGGATTGCAGGAAGCTGTCGCAGCTTGGGAGCCCGTTTTCACTGGGAGAGCAGCAGTGGTGGGATACGACTGGTATGCCCCAGTACAGGCGTACCGGTGCCTGCTGGGAGCACCAGGTACCCTTCTGGTATGGTGCTCTGGAGGGCCCACCCGCCCTCACCTGTATTTGAGCCAATCGGGGCTTCTGCGCACGTATAGCGCCTGCACAATGCTCTGCATTGCTCTTTTCAATAGCAAGTAAAAGAAAGGAGGACAAAAATGATTCACCATCTTCATTTCCAGAATGTGAATGGATTTCGTGCACATATTATTCATTAAGTTTATTTATTTATATCCTGACTTTATTGTTTTTTTAAAATAACTCAAGATGGCCAACACACCCGATGCACCTTCCTCCTCATATTTTCCCTACAACAGCAAGAACCCAGTGAGGTGGGGTTGGGCTGAGAGTGACTGGCTCACCTAGCTGGCTTTGATGGTTGAAGTGGAACTAGAACTCTTCCACTTTCTAGCCTGGCGCCTTAACTACTAGATGCATGGCGCCTGCATTTTATTTATTTCTAGTGGGATATGTGTGAATTCAGGGAAAGTGAAAAACAAGCAGGCAACCATTAGGGTCTTATAAGCCAGGACAAGATTGACAATAACTAATGATTAGCATTTCAGCAGTCTCCTTCCTTTCCTTCTTATAGGGATTTATGGGATCATCATCATTGTTTAATGACCCCATAATCCCTTGCGGGTTGGAGTCTGGCCAACTGAATGGATGCCCTTCTTGTCGCCAATGAGGAGCTTTGTTCAGCAGATATATTCTCATGAGCCACGGTAGCACAGTGGTTAGAGTGCAGTACTGCAGGCTACTTTTGCTGACTGCTGGCTGCCTGCAATTTGGCAGTTCAAATCTCACCAGACTCAAGGTTGACTCAGCCTTCCATCCTTCCGAGGTCAGAAAAGGAGGACCCAGATTGTTGGGGGCAAGAGGCTGACTCTGTAAACCACTTAGAGAGGGCGGTAAAGCACCATGAAGCGTTATATAAGTCAGTGTTGTTGCCAGTGCTATTGTGCCCAGAGAGAGAAATATCTGCCTCTACCTAGGATTGAACTCACAGCCACCTGATTGTGAAGCAAGAGCTCCACCTCTAGGTTGCTGGAACCAAACAGAATAGAGAAATTTAAAACAATCGGGAGGGGGGGGGGCTTGCGTTCCAAGGCAAAGCTAGATTGAATTCCAATTCCACAGTTTTAATAACACCAAGCAGGAAAACAAGAACATTCACAAATTCTTCAGCACCAAGGAGTTTTTTAGACAAAGCAGAAAGAGAGAGGGAGTTGTATTGGAGGGAGGCTGGGACACAAGGAAACACTTGGGGTGGAGGGGTGAGGGTGGGGTGGGGGTTAAGCTAATATGCTAAGCCAGGGAAATAATATTTAAATATGCAAGGAGAGAACTGCAGCCAAGGAAGGAGGGAGGGAAGGAGGGGAATTAAACCAATTTTATCTGCAGGATTTTGAAACTGATCAAAAAGAGAACTGAACTGGGTTTCCTTCCCTTTTATTCACCTCATTTCTTTTTTATTTCCATCAGATGGATGGATGGATGGATAGATTAGATAGATAGATAGATAGATAGATAGATAGATAGATAGATAGATAGATAGATAATCAGTCAAGTATCTGTATTAAAGGGGAAGTCCTCCATTTTCCCCTAATTCGGATACCAGCTGCACAATCTGGAACTGAAAGCTTTTGGCAATAATTATAGGTTGCAGGGTCCCTAAAGCGATGGGAGTGGGAGGGGAGAGCTTGCATGGAGTCAGACTGTCAGGAAAACAGTAAGTCAGGAGCTGTTCTCTTGGTCTCTGTTGAAACGCCCCTTCTATAGGAGGAGGAGGGGGGGAGGGGGAGGAGAAGGAGGAGGGGGAGGAGGAGGAAGACGAGGACGAGGAGGAAGCTGCAGCATTTATGCAGCTTCATCAACATTCATGACCTTCTTTTGTCACACACAGCCCATCCAACCTCTTTTACTTACACTCTTGTTTGAAGGTGAAATATTCTGTGAGATGCCTGCACTCGTGGTTCCCTCGGATCAGGAAAAGGGTTTTGGGGAAGTTTATCTTTAAACTCCATAAATACAGCACACACTGCAAAAAAGAGACATGGAAGGAAGCAGGTGAAATATATGTATGTTTTTTTCTGGGAACTTGACTTTGAAACTTTTGGAAGTTACATAGACAAAGCTGGTTCCAAAAAATACCCCAATCAAACGTAACAGGACTTAAGAGTAGGAATACTGGGAAGTGTTTCATACCACATCAGTTTAATCATCAAGTCCAGCAGTAAACAATGACTCATTGGGGTTCTGGGAGAAAGGGATAAGTTTCCATAACTTGATATTTAACTGAGAAATCAAAGATTGAACCTGGAACCTTTGGCATAAATATTGTGATTCTGCTAAAGAGGTTCAAACTGAATGCCCAAGGTAACAGTCTGATTCAAGAAACTCATTGTTTTGGTCTATATCAGGGGTCACCAACCTTTCAGACCTCAGGGACCACTACATTCATAATTTTAAATCCTGCGGATCACTAATCCGATCTGCCTAATTACTGGGTGGGTGGGCATGGCTAGATGGTCATGTGACTGGATGGGCGTGGCCAACTTGATGTCAATCACATTGAGGGGCACCTCGCCTGCCTCTACTCGCCCCTCCCCTCCCAGCCACTCCTTGCCTGCCCACCCAGACTCCTTAGGGCCCCAACAGGAAGCAGTTGCTGGAGCTAAGCAGCCACCACCAGAAAGAGTTGGCAAAACAGCTCAGTTCAAATTGGATCTGGCTGAGAAGGAGGCTCAGCTGAAGCACCTCACTGAGGACTACAAGCATAGGCTTTCCAAGCAGAGGGAAGACCTGCGGGAGTACAAGGCCAGGTACCAGCACCTAGAGGCTCAGTGGGCTGAGAGGATCAGCCAGTTCCAGACCATAATGCAGTCCCACTGGAACGAGGCCCTCCAGCTCTTTGCCACCACTGTCGCTTCCATCCAGCCTTCACCCAAAGCCCCACAGCAGGAGGCCGAAGCAGACCCCAAGTCAGAATTTCTGCCCCCCCCACTCCGACCTGCACAAAAAGACCCCAAACGGGGAGACTCTCTACAACAGTGTTTTTCAACCACTGTGCCGCGGCACACTAGTGTGCCGTGACATAGTGTAAGGTGTGC